ATTGACAGTTGACAGTTAAACACATGTCCCTGATTAGTCAATTTTGTCATAGCTGTCATTCAGTGCACAACACCACTAGACTTCTCTAAACTTTCTTGAATATTTGTGATATTCTTAGTGTATAAAGTCACCATAGCACCTTAGAAAGTTTGCGAAAGTTAGTGATAAAAGCTAAGCAAAAGCAAAATTAGTTAGAACCACGAGGGTGAAAAAACAATCATAGCAAAGAATGAAAGTGGTGCCCACATGTCTGCTTTTGCTACCTGAATTTGGTATGCCGAAATCAAGTTCTAATAAGAAAGAAAAATTGTGTGCAAAATGGGGGGGAGGAGGGAGTGCAAAGTTTTCTTGAAGAGTATCACACTGACAAAGCTGTGATTTTAGTGATTATGTTGTTTTAATATGTGATTATGCTAAGAATTGCTGTTTGTCCAGCAGCTGTGACAAACCATGTTACAAACCTGTTGAATGACAATGCTATGTCTCACTAGAAACATTTTAAAGTGCAGGCAAAAGCAATCATCCATGGACAAATTTCTTGTAAGAAAAGCATCCAGTAAGTCTAATGAGAGAAACCGAAAATAACAGAAAAGACAAAGAGCCCCAAATGCATTAATGGTAGGGGACTCCCCTGCCAAAGAAAAACTTCTCTCTTCCTCTGCCTCACTACCTTCCACATAATGCCATCAACTCCCCTAAGTGCATCGTGTGTTGGCATTTATTTAATTTAATTATTGCATTAATATATTTATTTTTGTGGTCTAGAACAGATTAATCCAATTTACATTATTCTATTCCTTATGGGAAATTTTTTGTCAGTATTCAAACGTTTCGGCATTCGTCCCACCTTCAGGAACCAATTAAGTCTGAATACCAATGTTCCACTGTACCTCAACATTCCCCCTTCCGTACACCTTGGGCTCAAGTGCAATTGGATATATAGTCATGTATGAATAAGTAGTTGAATCCCTCTACCAGGCACGAAGAAGAATAATTTTATGTGCAAAAGTATGTAACAATAAACTATTGTTTCACTAGATAGTTTAAAGACAGAATTACCACAGAATACTGGTAATACAGAACAATAAATATAGGTACTCACCAAGTGTCCAAATGTTTCTCCACTTATGATCATGGAATGATGTATAGGTGAGTATGATGGTGTTAACTGAGGGTGAGTATGGTGGCCTTAACTGAGGGTGAGTATGGTGGTGTTAACTGAGAGGTGATGCTGACATGTTGAAGGTTGATGCCTAGATGTTAAGGGTTTTGTTTGGTGTTGTTAAGTTGGTTAGGTGGGGTTAGGTTTGGTTTGGTTTGGTTTGGTTTGGTTGGGTTTGGTTCACTTCGGTTCGGTTTCATTTGGTTACGTTTGGTTTCATTTGGTTTGCTTTGGTTATGTTTGGTTTGGCTAAGTTTGGTTTGGTTAGCTTTGGTTTGGTTTGGTTAGCTTTGGTTGCGATGGGCTGGGTTGGGTTGGGTTGGGTTAGGATGGGATGGGATAGGTTGGGTTAGGTTGAGTTAGGTTAGGTTAGCTTTGGTTATGTTAAGTCTGATTAGGTTCAGTTCAGTTTGGTTAGGCTGATATACGCCAGTACAAGCTTGTTTCATCGGCATTATAAATCATCCTGCGTGATCTCAAATTTGGAAACACATTCCTCTCCACCTCTATCCAATGCTACCCAAAGCCTCCTAGCATTAGAAATTCTATATACAGAGTGTGTGTGTGTGTGTGTGTGTGTGTGTGTGTGTTTTATATATATATATATATATATATATATATATATATATATATATATATATATATATATATATATATATATATATATATATATATATATTTATATATTTATATATATATTTATATATTTATATATTTATATTACAACAGTTTTGGATGAGGTGAAAACAAATTTCAACACAAGACAGAACACGAAACAATGGGTATAATATTTTGTAAGTTAAAGGGAAGAGTGGAAGTAACTGCAAAGGGCCTATTGGCCTATATTTCTTGATGCTTCTATATTGGTGCGTTGTCTTGAGTATGTATACATACATACATATATACATACAGTATATACATACATGCACACTATAATGTTGGTGCTGAATGTAGGACAAGAAAAAACATATTTTTACTCTGAAATTTCCTAATTTCATACTGAAATGAGATGAGAATATGAGGTAGGCAATGTCATAGGAAGCTGATGATTCAGTGTTGTGGAGCAATTTGTCCAAGATATATTTTTGCATGGAGTGTGTTTGTAAAATAATATTTAGCATAACTCTCCTCAACATTGTCACTTGGATTGTAAACTTCCTATGGCATCTCCTGCCACATATTTTCCTCTAATTTCTTTATGAAATGAGATTATTTCTGAGTTCAAATGTGTTATCATGTTTTACATGCAGCACCAACATTATAGTGGGTAAATATACCGCACATTTCCTCATTACATATGTAATGCTAGGAGGCTTTGGGTATCATTGGGCAGCTTTAGAAAATTATACAAACCACATAGGAGACATTCCAGATTTATCTTCCTTTATAAGCTAAATGTTTTGATAAAAGATCATCATAACATGTTTTTTCTTGACTCCACTGTTTGTTGAAACCCTGAACAACAAATTTCCCGCATTCATTGATGCCATAGTAGCAGGATACCAAAAATATGCACAGATATAAAATGGTGAGAGGGGAAGGGTTTTGTCATCTACAGGCAGGCACATATACAAGACTGGGTCATCAGAGCAGGTGCAGAGGTCATGCCGTGGCAACACGGTGGCCGGTTGTGTTGCCACCACCGTATTGGTGGCCGACATGCATGCATATATGTGCATAAAATATATATATATATATATATATATATATATATATATATATATATATATATATATATATATATATATATATAAATATATATATATATATATATATATATATATATATATATATATATATATATATATATATATATATATATATATATATATATATATATATATATATATATATATATATATATATATATATATATATATATATATATATATATATATATATATATATATATATATGCAGTTTATTTATAAATTTGCAACTATGAATTGGAACATTTCCTACTCTGCTAAAATTTAATTGTATTCAAAATATTCATTTAAACAATTCATATTAATGTAGGCAAGAAAAGGAAAAGCAGTAACTATTAAAAAAAGTTCACAAGTTTAATGACGGATTATGCACTGTAATGAAAGAAAGTCATATGCAACAATGTTTTCAGATTTATATTTTCTAGTTTCTTCTGAGAGAAATTCCTGAAGATTCTAGCTATTCCTGACATGATTATATGATGATGTTGATGAAATGATGATGACCTGAGACTGGAGATGGATGTTATTTACAATGCTGATTCCTGTGCTACATATTACTATCACTAAATGTAGCTGGACAATGTTTTGATACAAGACAGTGCCCAGCTGAATGCATCACCTTGCCTGCTCCCCTACAGTGAAGGTGGTGTGCTACCTAAGTTTCATATTACAATCATAATATTCCCAGTATTTTCTGTTATTTAGAAAACTGCTTTACATTTTAATTTCAGACTTGTAGCTAAAATTAAAGTGCACACACTATATAATAGTGACAAATTACCTTATTTTAAGACTACACAAAATATCTTTACAAGACATTTCTGCTAACATGAAGCCTGATGCAGTTTCACTTGTACTTTTTAATTCATACTGTCCACATGGTGTAGACTCTAGGAACATTATGATTGCAGAGTACTATTCTAACATGATCTAAATTATGAATTATGGTATGAGCTTCACAGCATAATATTTTATACAATAAATTCATTCACTCATAAAAAATTTGACTGCTTTAAATTGAGAGAAAATTAGAGGTAACCCCTTATTATTAAGAATAATTAATGCATAATAACAAGGACACAACAAATTGTAGTATTATTATATTATTTGACCAAGGCAAAGATCTGTTTAAAAAAAAAGTATAGATACATTTGATTTATATAAAATACATACATTGAAAATATTCATTGTCAAATTTTGAAGGTATAGACATAATTGTGAAAGGATGAACATGGTCATGCTGGGTGTTGCAATGCACACAAAATATAAGTGAAATCTTATAATCAGTGAAAACTTGACACGCAGTGCAACTTGGATAAGTTATTGCCCAGGATCAACTGGGACAATAGGCATGCCAATTAATCAGGATTTGGTTAATCAGATCCTGAATAATAATTAGATATTGTAATAAATGTTGCTTCATACATGTCAATATCTTGAAATATAAGTAACATTTAGAAGCAAAGTATCTAGTTGGTCATAATTATAACAATGTAACTTGGTCCTTTGAGATAGAAGTTGGGTATACTGAGGGAATATTATGCATAAATATTACTTCTTTCACATGAAAATTTCATTCAATAAATCAAATGAATTATAAAATTCTAGTAGTTAATTGTATCTTAAAATATAAAATTTATTCAGTGCAGTATTTCAGTTTCCATTAGGAATATTGGTACAACAAGGCAGTATCATGCACTAACTTATTTTGTCCTGTATGACACATTCTATATGAGACTTCACATGGGTAAACAACATATCAGAAATTGGTATACAGTATCTTTTCAAAATTTAATAACAAGAACATCAAAGATACACTGACCTGATAACTCGGCAGTCACCTAACACTGTACAAATAGATTACATTTGCCAAGAGTAACGAGTTATGATTTCATAAGTAAAACTATCATTATGTACAATATTATACAATTGCAGTTGTATTAATATCTATATATGAGGTGATCCTTAAAAAGCTGGGGCCAGATTCACGAAAGCACTTACGCAAACACTTACGAACCTGTCCATCTTTTCTCAATCTTTGGCGGCTTTGTTTCCAATTATTAAACAGTTAATGAGCTCCGAAGCACCAGGAGGCTGTTTATAACAATAATAACAGTTGAATGGGAAGTTTTCATGCTTGTAAACTGTTTAATAAATGTAACCAAAGCCGTCAAAGATTGAGAAAAGATGTATACGTTCGTAAGTGCTTGCGTAACTGCTTCGTGAATCTGACCCCTGGTGCTGATATTTTGGCACATTTTATCTATTAGAGGAACCTAAATTCAGGCTAAAGAGAGGAGCATATCTGTCAAGTCTCATGGCTCACAGAAAATGGTTCAGGGGGCAAGACATTTAGCACTGCTCTTGCACCAACAAATTGTATAGCTGAGTGTATCAAGTTCATTTTCAAGGGAAAACCTAATTCCCATGAAACTTGACTCTGAAAAAGAGCATTTGGAGACTAAGGCATAAACAAAATCTTTGGCACCCTACAGCAAAGCTAACAAACTGGCAAATAACTCTACTTGCATATCGTTTCGCGATGGTTCCATGCTCATGTGCAGGGATAACGATAGGCTATAATGCCAAAAGAAAAACAATAAAATTGAGTATATAACTTTGGAGACCTTGAAAAAGAGATGTAGATGCTTTTCCATTATTTTGGTGAGATAATATAAAACCTTAACTATTTTCATAATGAAAGAACTATGCAGTATGTTAACTGTGCTCTTTTTCAAGACCATCTTTGACTTACATATAACATTTTTAAGGTTTTCTATAAGAAAACCAATGGTTGCATTTACATGATATTGTGAGCCTATGGCAATTGCAAGAGAAAAAGCAAATTGCATATATGTTGATATCTGGAATAGAGAAATTAAATATTCCACTGGTGAAAATACTTCTTATGTACAACAACAATGGCACATGTCAATGGAAACCTATTTATAATAAAAAATGATTTTTATCTTTGCCTTAACACAATTAACATGGTCTAAATTTTTATATCTAATTAAGACACGTGCCAATGATCAGCATGACAAAGATTTCAGGAACATATGGAAATGCAAAGTTGTAACATTCAGAGCAGCCAAAGTGCTCCTTCTCTTCTCCTTTGGGTACTCGTAGCGCATGAAGCCTCATAGATGGGCTTACAGGAATAGACTGGGCAAATGCCAGTCAGGCAAGAGTGACCAGGCTCACACAGGTCAAGCTTGGTCACAAAGTGTAAGCAAGAATCTATGTAACTGTTAGCCATCAGCTTTCAACTAGAAGACTATCAGCTATCTTTAATGGCCAACACAGTCGTCACGAAGGTGTTGGCATGCAGCTGGGGGCACCGGTTACATTGGGAAAGGGCGTCAAGTTGGGCCCACAGGAGGCTTGCGTCAGCTAGCCTCAGTATTTAGGGCTTCTGTGGAGCCTTGAGAAGCATGAGGAGATTCGTGGTCAGCAACACGATGGATCTGAACAGATACTAATGATGGGTTGGAGGCTCCTGAGGTGGCAGAAGTGGCCGAGGCTTTAGAAGCACGGCGTGAAATGGGGAAGAAGAAGAGAGACCCACGAGGAGATGTAGAAACCTCATTAACTGAGGAACGGGAAGCACGGCGTGAGCTTGATCCTCCTCCATCCACCTGCAAAGTTAGCAGTTGTAGCATTCTTAAACAAATACCGCTATATTAGTGAGTACTTTTCTCAACCTCTATCTTCTTGTGTCTCATTATGTTTATAGATATTATAATACTTGCTGAAGCATATTTAATTTCTTTCACACAGTTTTACACCATGGTAAATGTTTAACTTGCATAAGTCATTGGAGTACTGAATATCTAAATTTTATATTCCTAATTAAATATTATTAAATTATAAAAATTTCAGAGGGGCCTCCTTCCAATATAGCCCCCTTCATTGACAGTCTCTTAATCCCTGGGCGGCGCTTGTTATCACCTTCTCGTTCCCGGTATGCGCGCCCCAGCCTACTCCAAGGGAGGCCGAGCACTTTGCGTGAGGCCACACTAAAATGTGTATACTCTTTTAAGTTTTCTCACCTTAATTTGCATTGTACGTCGTTTATTTTGGTAACAAATTGTTCGCAATAGAATTCCCTACAGGGGGTATATGCATATAAGGTCCAAAAGCCCTGTGCGCCTCCCCCTCCCCCGGCAGCAAAGCCGAAAGTCAGCCAAGCGTTACTGTGGGCGAGCACCCATTTGCACACACAAATGTGTATACAAGGGTACCTCGGTTTAAGAATGTAATCCATTCCTGGAGACAGTTCGTAACCCGAAAATGTGTAAACCGAAGCGAATTTCCCCCCCAGAAATAATGGGAAATGAATTAATCCATTCCTGACTTCCCAAAAACTTCACTTCAAAGTAAATTTTATACCTAATTCATCCAAATCTTCACTACAAAAGTATGTTCAAGTTATTACTTACCCTTGCTGATTACTCCTGTTGGCATATGGAAGATGGTGAGGAGAGGGGGGGAGGGGAGGAGGAGAGGTGTTACTGTTTGGAAGAGGAGTCCCTTTCCATTATAACATCAGGCAGTGAAGATTTCTCTGGAATGCACTCTCTGGCATGTTTTGCCTGCATACCACTAGGTCCTGGTTTTGGCTCACTG